AATGCAGTAAGACGGATTAAATTACAGTTATCTGTACTAGAAATCATATGCGGTAATATTATTCTTTAGAACAACATTTGCTTGACAAACGTTTTAAGACATGCTTGCTCATTCAAGTGTGTACTCTTCAGATTACATTTTTGTCTCGAATGTAAAGGCGCGTTCTATCTCAGAAAGTTGATATTCACAACTTTGTATTGTGGCTTCCTTATAAAATCTAGTTTTTTTTATGGTGTTGGCTATATCTCTTTGTCAGTATCTAAATTAGAGTATAACATTACACTAACATGAAATCCCTGAACACTGATTTTATAACAAAACTATCCAATTTTGTCGTATCTATACAAATGCAGATAGTTTGTAGGTCTAAGCCAGGGAAACATGTGGCTCCCAAAAGGGGTGAGTAAATGTCCGACTTTTCGGTTAAGGATTTTGGTAACCGGTTCGTGGTCTTTCGCCTGAGCAACCGGTTAACCGTCTAACCGTTGACAACCCTACATAAATAATACATTTACATACCTAATTTGTAACATCGGTCAATATCTAAATGTCGACCAATCAGGACCAGACTTAACACGGACATTTTGTCAAATAAAAAAAAAAAAAATCCTATCTTCAAGAACACGATTAAAATATTCAATTAAACAACTTTTATTGTGGTCCATAACTCTATTACTATGATACTTGTATCCCTCTATACAACCAAGCATGCTTATACATTAAATATATGTATGTTACATATCTTTGTATACCATTGTAAGTCAAAGGTGTTGAGATAAAATAAAACAAGAGTCCCAGAGGGCATGTATCGCTCACCTGGATAATAAAGCAACCATGGGAAAGTATTCTTATTAAAAACAATCTATCCACTGGTACAGAAGAATAAGTATTTTAAAGAATTTAACCGCAATTTCCTTTTTGAGCCCCGCCCCTCTGCACCCAAAGGGGCCACACTCACCGTTTAATGCAAGATCAAGTCCTTTTTGGCCAAGGATGCTCCAGGCCAAATTAGGATAAAAAACTTATCCCTACGATAGAAGCAGGATTTTAAAGGTTTTATCTCTATTTACCCTATTGTGCCCCGCCTCTCTCCACCCAGGGTGTCAAAACCCACCATTTTAACAAGGTTGAGTCCCCTTGGCCCAAGGATGCTCCAGACCAAATAGGACGAAAAATCCCCTTTTAAGACTGGATTATGGAAGCAGTTGTATGAATGTCAAATCACAGGAATTTGTTTAGGTTACAAATATATGTTTAGCAATATTAAATTAAATGTACCATACAACGAATGCCCGCTGCCTTATCTGTGTAGAGAATGAGGGACGACTGTTTAAAAAGCATTGACAATGATGTTCACTATTTTCCCCCTGTTATATTGTTCAAGTGACAAGTTTACAAAACATGCGTATTCGAAATTATTATCGTATAGATCCAATTGGAATTAAAAAATCTTTTGCTTACATGCCGCAAATATAATGCTGGATGGATATTAAATTTTACTGAAAGATTAATTCCTCTTTTTCTTAATCTGAAGGAGGTATAGCTTCAGTATGATCCTTAAAATTAACTATCAGCAATATGTGTATGTGATATATATAAAATATGTGTATGTGATATATATGAAATATGTGTATGTGATATATATAAAATATGCGTATTTAATGTTACGTGTTAAACTTCCTGCTTACACAGTCACACAGACCATGCGATATGTTATAGTGACTCGTGTGTTAAAATCTTACCTTATTAGGGATGTCATGATAAGTACACATGATTTATAGAAACTGCATTATCACAGCCTATCTCAAGTGATATGTTTTTTCTCAATTTTAAAAGCTGTGGGCGAAACAAGGGTGTTTAATCGATTCTCTTAATTCCTACGTCATTTTATCAAATGGTTACCGTGTTATTCAGTCAAATTATACAAATGTATTGTAAACAAGTTGATACAACAACTATTTTAAAACCTACAAATGCCTCCCTTACGTTAGCTATTACATAATACTCTTGACCACATAACTGTCGTATTGCAAATTCAATCCAATCAATAAATAGGTGGCATGTGAACCGGAAATACAGGTATGTGAATGGGCGTTTGGGATGGGAACGAACATAAAAGGCACGGGGAAGGGGAGATAAGTCAGATTATTGTTTCTTTAATGTAGTTTATGACGGTGTAAGCAATACGTCATCTGATTTAGATCTAAACACAACTCCTTAAAAGTATTGATTTATCAATTTTAGAATGCAAGTGTACTGGATGGATAAAACTGAAATGCGTCAGCAAATCAACTGTGAAGTAGTTATTCGATCATCTAAAACTGGAACCATCGCCTTAATTGGGTTCTACCAGTGTGTTGTCTTAGCCGAATGGAGCTAAGCAAGTTGTAGTTTGTAAATCCTTCGTTTTGCTATAGTGCAAGATCNCCCCCCCCCCCCCCCCCCAAGACACCATTTTATTTTTCTTAGAGTTGCTTTATACATTGACATTTTAAGACTTTATTCCTTTATCAACATGTTTTATTCTCCGTCATTGCTAGGAATAACACCACCAACGTGTTTATACTGGTCTATTAATGGTAAACGTATGTAACAAAAAGTGTATTACTTGTGTATTTGAAATATACTATTCCTGCTTTTTAAACATTGTATCATTCACGGTTTCGATACATTAGTGTGATATATCAATGTATTTAAATATACGTACTTACCTATGTTTATATATCATACCTTTAATGAGCTGGTACATAATCAGCAATGCTGGTACATATTTAGTACAGTGACATTGATGTTCAATCAGCAATGTTGTAAAAGCATGTACTTTGGGCTGGAGGCGAATAGTATTGAATAAATATTGAACTGAATTAAAGTGAAAGTTTATCATTAAAATACATAACAAATATATCAGCATATGTAAATGTTGAGAATTTCAGAATATGTTTATATCATTATATCTGTTTTTCTAAGGATTAAAACAAACGACACAGTCATATAAGATCTGATCTGTCTTGATAACTGTTGACAACTTCCACCATAATGTCAAGTTGTGGCGATAGGACATGGATGACAGCTTTTAAGATACATAAAATGTAATAAAAGGGTCCAAAACTGAATCTAAAGGGACCTCTGGACATATTTATTTTACTGAAAATTATAACAATTGATAGAAATTGGATTGATCAGTGTTAAGATGACCGTGAGATGCACACAGGTGAATGCACATTCTAAATTGGTTAAAAGATACAACATGCCAAAAATGATCACTCTGTACTTTGCACTTATTTTGTCAATCTAAAACTCACCAGAGATGCTAGGGGCAATAAAGAGGAAAATACATATTGGTCTAAACTACTGTTAAAAAAAAGGCTAAAACTTTATAGAACTCCTGCGAAAAAAATATAACACAGCTAAAGAGTGATATGTGACGAATTTAGATATAACATTACAGATTTAAACTTATTTGTAATAAAGAGTTGATAGCTGGCATATAAGATGTATTACATCTTCTCTCGACAAAACATTATACTGCAGAGAGTCCAACGGCTCATCGTTTTGATAACATACTTGGGTGTGTCCTCCATCGAGGATACTGCGAAAAGATAAGCAGTTAGAGTCTATTTTAAATTTTATCGTTTCTGTAAGCGGATGTATCCTCTTGTATGGTGAACTTACATCGGTGTTTGCATTTCATTTAAGTTTACATGTAAGCAGTTAATTGTATGTGTGTAGGGTTGAGGGCAAAACTTAACTTGTTAAAAGTGTCGATATTTCCGAGAAAAAAACCCGTTAGTCATTAAATAATATCGTTTCTCGTTTTCATGGTTTTTATATGGGTAGTCGGTATTTTACGTATTAAGGTTTCTGTCATTCTTATATTATTAACCAGTGAATATAAATGACTTCGACTTTAAACATATTGTATTAACCAATCCGGTCTAAAAGGGTTTGGTACAAGTTATAACAACTTATGAATTGATCTTCTATCAACAATGCTATCATAAGTTGTTTCAAAGACAGACAATTTTAATTTCGAGAAAGGAGCAAATCAAATTATTATTTTGTAAACCTGTCTAAGTTAAACATAATTCAATGATTCCAATAAAAGCAATTTATTTGTACATGTTTTTTTTAGTAAACCTTATCAGAATTGCAGATTAGAGAAAATCACACAAAGAAACTGATATCATGAATAACATAGCTTTACTATTCGTGTCTCTATCAAAGTTTTTAAATGATTATTATCATTTTGTCTTAGAGACATATTTATTCTTTTGTACATTTAAATATTTACGTTGGGGATATCAATTACCTGTGAATGAAATAAAGTATGGCAGTACTAACTAATAGGTAGGGGAAAGGGGGAGATGACACCGCTGTTGTATTGGTTGATTCAGTTATTTCATTATAAATCGTATTTTATGTATTGTGTATATAAAGGCATCGCCCCAGGATAATTTTAGTAAGTTAACGTCTCCATTAGTGAAACGAAAAAAAAAAAAATTATATATCGTCTCAGATTTCAACATAACATCATGATGTCACAATGAAAACAATAGATTTGTCCATATGTCTATCACTCTGTCTGCTATCTTTTGTGTCATCTTGGTGTCCCTCAGTCATGAATCTTTCCTGCTTTTCTTGTTTCTTTTTCCTTTTCAATTCTCCTCTTTTGATTAAAATTCCGTCTTTGCGTATTGCAGAGTTATCATCTCTTGTGAGCAGGTATTTATTGTTACTTCATTGGTTCGTGTGAGAAAATTACGTCGTTTTCTCAAAAATGTATGACGTTACTCTCACAAACAAATGACGTAACAATCAATACCTGCTCACAAGAGAAGATAACTCTGCAATACGCAAAGACGGAATTGTAGAAGAAGAATATTCTTGGAAAGAGTTGTAGGTAGAACCATGTAAAAAATAGTGTGAATGAACTTGAATACTATACAAAGTATTTATTGGAATGTGACAAAATCTTAAAAATATAAGATGACGTGACCAGATCGTGTTTTCGCCGTTTTATTATGACAATATTTTACATCATTGATCAAGTGACAAAAAACATCTTGAATATTCGTCACGACTTTTTTTTACTTTAGCTCACAGGCAAGTCAACAAACAGAAATAAATATTAAATTCACATGAATCTGAAATACATAGGAAACTGAAGCAATACTCTATATTTTTTTACACTCACCGAGTAGTATCAAGCACGTGTTTTAGAAACCTCATGATTAGAAAAAAGTAGGTGGACACTGTCAACATAAAAAAAATACAGGAACATAACGTTTGATTACCCATAAATAGGGCAATATTTTCATATTCAATTTAAATCATATCCCCCAGAAATACCTCAGCGGTTACAGCAGAATAAAGTAAGAATAGTAAGTATCAGTTAAAAGTTTCATTCATAAATTCAGAAATCGAGAAATTGAACTAAGATAAGGAGACTTAGGTGTTATAGCCGTGAAAATTGTTGACTGACACATGGGAAAACATAAACAAAATTTGTCTTTAAACACAATGAAATAAATAAATATACTTACTCAGGCATGCATTTGACTAAAAGCTGGCATGATGGAATGTATATACAACTGATAAATTATCTTTTTTAGTGATTTTGTACAGAAACGTGTTTATACTGGTCTATTAATGGTAAACGTATGTAACAAAAAGTAGTCTTAGTGATATTTATTTTGCATTTTTCAAATATTAAGCAAAAAATGAACACATCTAAAAAAAAAGCAGCACATGTTGTAAACAATGTTTTAAATAAACTCAACAACAAATCATGATGACGTAAAACGTCCATAATGATGAGATATAAGGTAAGATTACACCATGAATGTTTACAACAACACCACCACACCACAGTACATTAAATCTAGTTACTGTATAACGGGTCATTTTTACGTTAGTTTTATACTTGTATTTTTCGCGGTAGGTTAAAACTTCCAATCTAACATTTCCACTACAATTTCATTCGCTTATATGCATCTTACAAGAATTGTCCTTCCACCGGTAGGTAAAAACTGCGAGAATGACACTCGTTTGCTCTTCACGCGAAAATAACAATCCGTCAATTTAAAGCGTTACACAGTAATATATATGTTTAATCCAAGTGTAGTTTAACCCATTCCCATTCACATCACACACGATCCCTTGTCTTTTAACTCACATATTTGATTGCATTGGTAAAATAATATTCATCATTAAACCCAGTCAGACATCGCCTTTGGCCGAAATGAAAATAGCCTTATGGTGTCCGTTAGACAATATCACTTGATCACTTGGATCAATGTCCGCCTCTTCTGTCTTTTTTAGCATTCCCATTTCTACCTCTGCCTCGTGGGGTAATGGTGGCTGTTTTGATGCCCTCGTACAACTTCTGGCGATGCGCAGTCGCAGACGATATAGTCCGTAGAGAAGCAGATGTATGACGGGACAACATACAAACACGTACATTAATGAAAGGACCAGTGCCGGCACAGGTCGTTCACCCCAGTCTAAAAATGCATATACCGCGTCACCAGAAATCAGCGTATAAACACTGTTGAATATGATATAGACTAAATTGTATATGGCAGGTTGATAAAAGTGCTGAAATTTGATTGGTTTTGCCGTTAAACTGACACACAAGATGACGTAAAGAGCGTTTATACCGTGCTTGTTGATGGACGTAGCTGCCAGTGCTGTGAATAGAGAAAAATATCATTAAGTTTTACGTAATAACAATAGTTTCATTCAAAATAACACGTTGAAGTATGGTGTATATGGGTTTAACATCTTTGCATCTTGGGAAGACATGTCTAATATGATTGTCCGTAGAGAAACAGATGTATGACGGGACAACATACAAACACGAACATTACTGAAATTAAAATGAAAGGTCATCTAAGAGTGACGTCACGCTGTAATATAAGTTGGACTTGTTGGTAATAACCAGAGCTTGAAGTGACAAGACTTACGCCACAACAGAACGTGCATAGATGAGGGAAGGGCAAGATAGCAGAGGGATAGTACACAATGATAACCTCCGATCCCGCAGTTGAAAATGATAACAATGCTATACACAGATACTTACACGAAGACGCTTCATTGTGTTCATGAACGTTATACCGTGGTATGTATCGCCGACAGTGATATTTAGTACTAAGGACATACAAACTCCAAATCAGAGACATCATGACCATCAGTAACTAACGTGTTTTTGTACATGGGGAATCAGCTATTTGCATAACGTTATCATCGGAGAGTGAACCAAATTTAGAGGGAGGTATTTTGTAAGTAAAATTTATTGAAGTTTATATGACAGTACATATTGTTGGGTAGAGTCAGTTCATATGTCGTTTAATTAAATTATCCGGGTCCAAGATTAAATTCAAAATTCCACCTTAAATTTTCGAAAAATATTGATTAAATTAGTTTAGTTCAATAAGATATAATAAAATAATGTAATATTGACAACATTTTGTGTCAATAAATCTGCATTTGAAATGACTTCTTAGATAATGAGGCTTTATTTGACTTCAGTAAAGGACTTTTGACTTAACTTAAAAATGGGACTTTTGATTTGTTTGACTTTAGTATGAGGCGATGATTTGAGTGTGGGCTTCGTTTGATTTGAGTGTGGGCTTCGTTTGATTTGAGTGTGGGACTCGTTTTATTTGAGTATGGGACGTTTGTCTTGTTTGATTTGAGTGTGGGACGTTTGTCTTGTTTGATTTGAGTAGGGGACGTTTGTCTTGTTTGATTTGAGTGTCGGACTCGTATGATTTGAGTATTGGACGTTTGAGATGTGTGACTTGAGTGTCGAAGGTTCGACTTGTTTGACTTGAGTGTGGGACGTTTGACTTGTTTGACTTGAGTGTGGGACGTTTAACTTGTCTGACTTGAGTGTGGGACGTTTGACTTGTCTGACTTGAGTGTGGGACGTTTGACTTGTGTGACTGGAGTGTGGGACGTTTGACTTGTGTGACTTGAGTGTGGAACGTTTGACTTGTGTGACTTGAGTGTCGGAGGTTTTACTTGTCTGACTTGAGTGTGGGACGTTTGACTTGGCGGACTTGAGTGTGGGACGTTTGACTTGTGTGACTTGAGTATGGGACGTTTGACTTGTTTGATTTGAGTGTGGTTCGTTTGTCTTGTTTGATTTGAGTAGGGGACGTTTTTCTTGTCTGACTTGAGTGTGGGACGTTTGCATTGTTTGACTTGAGTTTCGGACGATTGACTTGTGTGACTTGAGTGTGGGGCGGTTGACTTGTGTGACTTGAGTGTGGGACGTTTGAGTTGTGTGACTTGAGTGTGGGACGTTTGACTTGTTTGACTTGAGTGTGGGACGTTTAACTTGTCTGACTTGAGTGTGGGACGTTTGATTTGTCTGACTTGAGTGGGGGACGTTTGACTTGTCTGACTTGAGTGTGGGACGTTTGTCTTGTGTGACTTGAGTGTGGGACGTTTGACTTGCGTGACTTGAGTGTGGGACGTTTGACTTGTGTGATTTGAGTGTTGGCCGTTTGATTTGAGTGTGGGACGTTTGTCTTGTTTGATTTGAGTGTGGGACGTTTGTCTTGTTTGATTTAAGTGTGGGACGTTTGACTTCTCTGACTTGAGTGTGGGACGTTTGCCTTGTCTGACTTGAGTTTAGGACGATTGACTTGTGTGACGTGAGTGTGGGACGTTTGACTTGTCTGACTTGAGTGTGGGACGTTTGAGATGTGTGACTTGAGTGTGGGACGTTTGACTTGTGTTACTTGAGTGTGGGACGTTTGACTTGTCTGACTTGAGTGTGGGATGTTTGACTTGTGTGACTTGAGTGTGGGACGTTTGTCTTGTTTGATTTGAGTAGGGGACGTTTGTCTTGTCTGACTTGAGTGTGGGACGTTTGCCTTGTCTGACTTGAGTTTAGGACGATTGACTTGTGTGACGTGAGTGTGGGACGTTTGACTTGTCTGACTTGAGTGTGGGACGTTTGAGATGTGTGACTTGAGTGTGGGACGTTTGACTTGTGTGATTTGAGTGTTGGCCGTTTGATTTGAGTGTGGGACGTTTGTCTTGTTTGATTTAAGTGTGGGACGTTTGACTTCTCTGACTTGAGTGTGGGACGTTTGCCTTGTCTGACTTGAGTTTAGGACGATTGACTTGTGTGACGTGAGTGTGGGACGTTTGACTTGTCTGACTTGAGCGTGGGACGTTTGACTTGTGTGACTTGAGTGTGGAACGTTTGACTTGTGTGACTTGAGTGTCGGAGGTTTTACTTGTCTGACTTGAGTGTGGGACGTTTGACTTGTGTGACTGGAGTGTGGGACGTTTGTCTTGTTTGATTTGAGTGTGGGACGTTTCAGATGTGTGACTTGAGTGTCGAAGGTTTTACTTGTTTGACTTGAGAGTGGGACGTTTGACTTATGTGATATCAGTGTGGGACGTTTGACTTGTTTGATTTGAGTGTTGGACTCGTTTTATTGAGTATGGGACGTTTGACTTGTGTGACTTGAGTGTTGGACGTTTGACTTGTGTGACTTGAGTGTGGGACGTTTGACTTGTGTGACTTGAGTGTGGGACGTTTGACCTTTGTGCCTTGAGTGTGGGACATTTGACTTGTGTGACTTGAGTGCGGGACGTTTGACTTGTGTGACTTGAGTGTCGGAGGTTTGACTTGTTTGACTTGAGTGTGGGACGTTTGACTTGTGTGACTTCAGTGTGGGACGTTTGACTTGTGTGACTTGAGTGTGGAACGTTTGACTTGTGTGACTTGAGTGTCGGAGGTTTTACTTGTTTGACATGAGTGTGGGACGTTTGACTTGTGTGACTTCAGTGTGGGACGTTTGACTTGTTTGACTTGAGTGTGGGACGTTTGACTTGTGTGACTTGAGTGTGGAACGTTTGACTTGTGTGACTTGAGTGTCGGAGGTTTTACTTGTCTGACTTGAGTGTGGGACGTTTGACTTGTGTCACTTGAGTGTGGGACGTTTGACTTGTGTGACTTGAGTGTGGGACGTTTGGCTTGTCTGACTTGGGTGTGGGGCGTTTGACTTGTCTGACTTGAGTGTGGGACGTTTGACTTGTGTGAATTGAGTGTGGGACGTTTGACTTGTGGGAATTGAGTGTCGGATGTTTGATTTGTGTGACTTGAGTGACTTGAGTGTGGGACGTTTGAATTTTGTGACTTCAGTGTGGGACGTTTGACTTGCTTGACTTGAGTGTGGGACGTTTGACTTGTCTGACTTGAGTGTGGGACGTTTGACTTGTTTGACTTGAGTGTGGGACGTTTGACCTGGGTGATTTGAGTGTTGGACGTTTGTCGTGTTTGATTTGAGTAGGGGACGTTTGTGTTGTCTGGCTTGAGTGTGGGACGTTTGCCTTGTGTGAATTGAGTGTGGGACGTTTGAGTGTGACTTGAGTGTGGGACGTTTGAATGGAGCTGGTTGTGGGACGTTTGACTTGTCTGACTTGATTGTGGGACGTTTGACTTGTGTGACTGGAGTGTGGGGCGTTTGTCTTGTTTGATTTGAGTAGGGGAGGTTTGCCTTGCCTGACTTGAGTGTGGGACGTTTGCCTTGTGTGAATTGAGTGTGGGACGTTTGACTTGCTTGACTTGAGTGTTGGACGTTTGACTTGTCTGACTTGATTGTGGGACGTTTGACTTGTGTGACTGGAGGGTGGGACGTTTGTCTTGTTTGATTTGAGTAGGGGAGGTTTGCCTTGCCTGACTTGAGTGTGGGACGTTTGCCTTGTGTGACTTGAGTGTCGGAGGTTTTACTTGTTTGACTGGAGTGTGGGACGTTTGACTTGTGTGAATTGAGTGTGGGACGTTTGACTTTTCTGACTTGAGTGTGGGACGTTTGCATTGTTTGACTTGAGTTTCGGACGATTGACTTGTGTGACTCGAGTGTGGGACGTTTGACTTGTGTGGCTTGAGTATGGGACGTTTGACTTGTTTGATTTGAGTGGGGGACGTTTGTCTTGTCTGACTTGAGTGTGGGACGATTGACTTGTCTGACTTGAGTGTGGGCCGTTTGACTTGTGTGACGTGAGTGTCGGAGGGTTTACTTGTTTGACTTGAGTGTGGGTTGTGTGACTGGAGTGTGGGACGTTTGTCTTGTTTGATTTGAGTGTGGGACGTTTGAGATGTGTGGCTTCAGTGTCGGAGGTTTGACTTGTTTGACTTGAGTGTGGGACGTTTGACTTGTGTGACGTGAGTGTCGGAGGTTTTACTTGTTTGACTTGAGTGTGGGACGTTTTACTTGTGTCACTTGAGTGTGGGACGTTTGACTTGTGTGACTTGAGTGTCGGAGATTTTACTTGTTTAAGGTGAGTGTCGGACATTTGTTTGTGCCCGTTGTTACGTACATTTCGCCAGTAAAATCCAGTACGTTAGTGTCAGCAGTATCGCCGACGTGTTCATCAGGTTGAAGATCACCCAGTTCACCTTCATGTACCACGGCATTTCCTCTGAAATAATAATAGTAACAGTCTTACTGCATTGTTTTAGTATTTTAGCGGTGATGACAGCTACGATCTGATGTACTTAATAGTCGACAACGGTTAATTATTGGTTAACATTGTAATGAAAAGTCTTGTACTCATTTTAAATTATCTTCAAGAAATAAGCGCGTTCAAGTAAAATCAAATTTACGCAGAATGTCAATATGCACAAGGGCAAGACATTCTTTGTTACCAGACTCGGTTTTTGTGAACATTTTTAACTCTTAACTTAAACAAAATTTCCTACATTCCTCTTAGATATTTCATGTTTTGTTGTTTCTAGTGTATAAGTGATCTCTTAACACAAAATTTGCGATGATTCATTTGACATTATCAGGAACTTATTTCGAGAATTCGGTAAAATCTTAAAGTTATTCCTGGGTCTATTTTACCACGTATATGCTTACTTTCTGTTGACATGGACACTTAATATCTGTTTCATCAGACTCGGATACTTCCTTTCTGTTGACATGGACACTTAATATCTATTTCATCAGACTCGGATACTTAATATCTGTTGACATGGACGCTTACTTTCTGTTGAAATGAACACTTAATATCTGTTTCATCAGACTCGGATACTTCCTTTCTGTTGACATGGACACTTAATATCTATTTCATCAGACTCGGATACTTACGTTCTGTTGACATGGATACTTAATATCTGTTGACATGGACACTTAATATCTGTTTCATCAGACTCGGATACTTACGTTCTGTTGACATGGACACTTAATATCTGTTGACATGGACACTTAATATCTGTTGACATGGACACTTATTTTCTGTTGACATTGACACTTAATATCTGTTTCATCAGATTCGGATACTTACCTTCTGTCGTGCCCGACTTATAGAAGAAGATATAGCAGGCGGTGATGAAGTCGATAAAGGAATGGACAGTAATTAGGGTGTAGGACCAGTTGGTGAGGAAGACGAGCCATGAGGCGGGATGCACGTCCCACGTGGCGTTAAAGTAGTAGGCATCATACGCGCACCAGATGAGGTGGAACGCCGTCCAGAACGAGGTCCACACCAGATAGTGTACGGGCCGTCCTACCTGCGGAAGGATAATACAAATTAATCTTGCATCCTAATACCAAAATCGGTAAATCTGCCAGTGAAAAACGAATGTGACCTGTTTCAGACAAAAAAGGCTAACTAACCAACCTAACTGCCTTACAAACATGTAAGAAATATAATGTCAGCGTTGGCGAGAACACCCAATCATGAAAACAGGATGCGAAAAAATCAATGACATGTCGAAATGCAATGTCAGTGTTATCATATGCGACGTAATGATTTGGGGTCTTTCCAGGATGCCTTGCTATAATGTGATTTGTTTATAACATGATTCGACACATCCTATTCCGTCCCACTCATAAATGTATTTACCAGATATATTTCCTGCGATCTTGTTAAGAATTATACTTACTTTTATATATATATATAATGGATAATAGATATTTACATATGTCATAGATTTTGACAATGTATTGATATAAGAATACACTAAACTGATTGTAACGCTAATAAGCAAACAGAAATCATCCTCTGAGTAATTCAAAGTTTAATCAAATATCGCATAAAGACATTAACTATCGCAACATAATAATTGAAGAATGTCCTTCTAAATGACGTATGACAGAAATACTGGTTTCGAAATCCATATAGATTGGCCACAAAGGACATAAAAAGTGACCAACGCTTGTTCTATCTTCATCAGCCATAACCATACGTGTTCATGTTGATGAAATGAAACCCTGCTGTCAGTCCTGTTAGATAAGGAGTTTTAAAAACATGTTGTTCCGGTAACACTATATAGCTGTCACTCTCTGTTTCTGTTAAAATGTTCTCTTTTTACAATTTCTTTCTTTCCTATGATACTATTTTACTTTAAAGCATATTTTTAACTATTCCAATATTTGTCAAATTGTATGAATAAAATTGCGTTCAAGTCCTTTTAATACGTAATGCGTTGGTTATGTATTGAGTAGCATAAGATATACTACAAATAAACATACTTCACTGTTACGACATTTTATTTTGTTAATATATCGTTTATACGACACATAGCGTACGATATCAATTAAGATGTTATATTGTCAAATCGATTTAACACGAAAAAACACCTACACCCTGAAGATGAGAAGTTTTACTGGCAACCAAATATCCGAATATGCAATTTTGTAAGTGAAAGAAACGGATGAGATCTTTTTGAGGAAATCCTATCCAGACTAACTCACCCTTGTCGTCTTTAGCTTCCTTACAAGCTTGAGTTATTAATGTCAATATTTGAAGGACCACCAAACCATTTCTGGGTTTACAAGGCTAGTTTGTAGCAGGATCGGTGTGTACCTCGCAGATAAAAATCATCGAAAAAGAATGCGCAAAAACAAGGGCTTCTTCGTAATTGAGTGGCTTTTCAGTTAGTTTTATTATATGGGACCTAGCTGATTGGGAGATCCATCAGTGTGTCGTTTTGGTACAATATAACTTATTAAACTCTATCTAACACTCCCTGTTTCGTGCCACTCATAAATGCTTTTGTGCAGTATTTATATTTGAAATAGAATTTACTATATTATTTGATTTCTGTTGCTTATTTGCTTATGTTAATCACCTGTATACAAGTCTGGTTTATAGGGAAAGTATAAGCTCTCTTTAATATAGTGACAATATCAGAATATCATCACACATAACGAGATCAAGTGTTTGTGTACATAGTTCAGTCTTATTAGGGCACGTCAAGACTCTATCTGACACATCATTGAATCAGAGATAAAACGGAAGTTGAGAACGGAACGGAACAAGCGCAAATACCGGAAGATCCTCTTGTGAGGTCAGGAACGATTCTGGTAATAATGCGTCTATAATGAGAGTGGAGGGTTCAAACTGCGTGACTATATGATATCTTGACCTTTGTTTCGACAGTTGTCACTATGTGCTGAACTAATCCTAATTCTGTGTGTGTGTGACACCATTACATGACATAGAGGCGGTGTTGACGCAGTTTTGTTTAATCGCCACGTGTTGCTTTCCCTAGACAATAACAGAGGTATCCTTACTGTACTTAGACATTACAGGTACATGTACAACAAGTATACATCATACATTTACATCCCGGAATAATACATGGGGATGTTTTTTTTTACATCGTGTATCTATCTGAGTTCTAAACAAATTATTTTTATCTCTTTACGGCTGATATTAGACGAGGTAATTCAGGACGGAATGTTAGATATCATCAATCGAACACCTATATGCATTTCCCAATGTAAATGCACGCTCAATTTAGCATTCAATTTAACATGTGTTAGACTAGAAGGCTGCAGTTGAACCGAATGTCTAAAACGCCATAACACATGTCATGTATAATGGTAAACGTTACTTAAAATTCCACGGCGATTAACGCCAACTTCTGCTGTACACTTTGTGCACGTCCTGTGAATTAGTTATTACCGTAACTTTGTGGTATGTCGTTATTACTAGGAGGCGTAAAATCCTAACTAAACAAAAACTTAAAATCCATCCTGATCAATAACTGATGGTAACGAAAGACCTTTGAAATATTTTTTAAATAATGAAACATCTTTCTGAACACTATACTACATTTATATCTTAAATTTCATTCACAATAATAATAATTATAATACCTAACTTGGCTGCTGATTTGAGATATTATATCGCCACCAAGATATTTATGTCTAGTCGCCATGATATATAAAACTACAGTAGGATATTTTAGCACTTCTGTTATAGCGAGGGTGCAGACAAATTCATTCTTCGGGAGGGTTCTTATTTAAAACAAGACGAATGCTGCGATGTACGAATCGACGTAAAATGAGAATCAAATGGCTGATGATCATCGATCGGTTTATCATAATATTATAAAATAATGAATCAGCTCTAATCGATAATTAAGGCATATAGAATACCGGTACATCGAACCTTAATGACAGTTTGTGGGAAATAAACATAGATTAAAGCTCAAGTCACGTCAGATTTCAAACAATGTCTCATGGATATCAGTTAGGAAAACGATTAATCTTGACAAGTTAATTTGGCTTAACGATGTTTTCTTATGTATGAGAAACACACATATGTATACATATATGCTCCTATCTGACCCAGTCATTGACAATCCAACATGCTGCATATTATAAACTGTATGCTTTGAGTTGATCTATTTATTGATTTCAAATGAAGCCTTGCTTACGTTACTGGAACATCAAGCGCAAAAAAATAAGAATCATGCTAGGGGTTTTATTGTACAGTTACAAGAACACTTGACTGGAATAGGAATTTCGTTCCATGGTCTATTTTTAGTACACAATGTTTTGTGAAAATGTACAATTAAATGCTTTGAAACATTTATAAAAGAAATCAATACCCGTCTTTCTTTCTCCTCAATGTCACATTGAAGGAATGACTTTGAATATTTTATCGTGACGTTTTAGAATTTACGTATTCATTTAAAATTAAGCATGGTCTGCATACTGCGTCACTTGAGCTCTAGGGGGCGCGTTGTGCAAGAAATACAACCCGACCGAGGTCACACGGGTCAGGAAATTGTTAGGTATATAAGTGTTTTACCTGTCTGTCTATGTGTTACGGACACCGTTGACGTCATCACTATCTGCCGATCCTTATATGACAATCCCTGTAATTGACAGTGAACGTGCACGTATTATCTGCCTTTATTTTTCACCTCGCAATCAATTCTGCCATGTATTGCTATTCTACACAGTGAATATAAACAAACAAGCCGTGAATACAAAATCACGTCTGAGACAATAGCCCCACCGTACGTCGTCATTAAATAAGGAAATTGGACGAATTTTAGTAACTTTATTTTATTAAATAGGCTTTTACAGAATGACAAATACGTTAACCCGATTCTATGCATATTACTTGACTAGATTTGGTATTTCATATTTTTATGAAACCCACACAGTTACGGTAACCTTTTGCTAACTTATAGTAGAGGGTACCAATTGAACTCTTTAAATTTCTATTAAATTAAATTTGATTGATTTACTTGGTATTTTTTGGCAAATTGACAAATGTTTTTATTCTGTTTCACTCAAAACAATGAAGATTTGTGCACGTGTGTGTCAATTTGTCAACGATGTTCCCATACACGTTAAACGATATTGTACAAAAACGGCTTCGATCATGCAATACGAACTGTATTCTCACGGTGTCAGTGCTGCGTTAGGCTATATTTGTTTTAACCGGAACAAAACCTTAAGCTTTAAAATATATACCAAATCATATCTACCACATTAGGTTGTCTTTTAGTTTTGGGGTCAACCCCTAAACATTCGTGTCTCGATCTGCATATTATTCAGTGTACTTAAGCAGGAACGAGACAGATACAATGTCGTTCGACTAATTGGAGATATGACGGAAACAGCACTAAAGTTGCCTGATATTCTTAGTAGAAACATTCCGGTTGTGTAATTCTCGAGACATTCCGAACGGCTGACAAATGATATATTATTAGCAGAATCAACGTTGTTGGTATATGCATATATCCGTAGATACTTGATGAAACGCTGACAAAACAAATAAATCATAATCCCATTAGTAATAAGATAAATAGGAATTCATCTTTGTAAATGACACTTGTAAGCTGAGGCCGTATACTACTCCTTCTGCCTGACACATTCGAATCATAGGTTGTGTCCACTTTAGGTCCTTTACCAGACTGGGCGGACCCCGAGTGTTGGGGAGGACGTCAGGCCAATTAAAGACATTCAGTCATCCACGTAATTATAGTAGCAAAACACGGATATAGGATGGTGTAGCGATACCAAAAGTACCGGAAGTGCAAACAAAGCCTCTGTAATGGTGCACACTAAAACACCGGTTTCGTGTCACTTTGACGGAAATGCAAAAAAAAGGCCCTCGAAAAGGTGAAATCTAACAAAAAAACTGGTAACAGTTATCGTACCACTTCATCATTACAAAATAACACAAATAACATTAATCTCGGGCAAGGTTCGCACTAGGCTAAATGATGTATACATAAGCTACAGATCTATTTACATTCAG